CAGTATCTGCAAAAAGAACAAGTGTACCAAGGTAACATCTCCTCTCTTCCGCTGATATCTACCACCATACTAAAGCAAAAATCAATAATAGAACTGTGTGGAAATTGGCAGAATATAAAATGTAAAATAAATAGCCATCTGGAAAATGAGTATTAATAACTAAGGAGTCACATGTTCTAACACAGTTGAAAGACACTGGAGTCTAAACAATATTCCTCCTTCTCAAATTCATTATGTATGTGTTGAAAAATGCATTTGGAGCCTTCAAATACTTTTTTACAGACTATGTGAAGAGTAATTTAGCAGTATTAAAAATTGACAAAGAACATGCTTTTCTCTGGGAAAGGATGTGTGAAATTGTGTCATGTTAATTGAACCCTGCTGTGGTAGGCAAATAAGAAATTGATTTCCGCGGAGCACTATCAAGAACACACTCTGTCTCTGGAACAGCAACTTTCAAAAATGGATGGGAGGAAAGCTGCAGTTGGGGTCATTAGGTTTGTATAGTAAATTAAGAAGAAAACGACTACTGTAATGTCCCCCATCTTCTTTGTATTTAGAATCCACGAAGGGAAGATCATAGTTAGTTCATTTCCTTCAGTGTTGTGCCATCTAGCAAGGCAGAGAAGAAAACTATTCCATTACTGTGTGCTGCCTGCTCTGCCTGCCTGTAAGGCTGAAGTGGAAGAACATCTGCCTATTATTTCTTAGGTTGAGCTAGAATATGCACCTAATGGCAGGGACGATTGAGCATGAAGAGTATAATCTGTTCATAACATTCTGAGAACCAGGGAGTTACTAGCTTCTTTCCTACGAGATACGGTTTGGCTGTATCATACCGTTGACTGGATGATTGTGGGCTGCTTTAGGTAGATTACATAAGCCAGGAAAGGAGTGATGGTCAATCTGTAGAGAGGAAGTGGGTCCACTGTGGGAATCGAAGACTAGAGGAGGCGATAGGGAATCCTGACCAGGGTGTGGGTGCTGGTCCCACGACTCTAGCCTAGAAAGTCATTTACAAGGAAGTCAGATTAAATTCTCCTCCTTCTCTGTGGTCACCAAGCAGTTAGAGTAGCAACTAAACTTGACTGTTTCTATTTCATTAAGGAATGTGCTACATTTAATTGTACTGGGGACCGCTTCATGTCTGGTACAGAATCCATGCTCAGCAAATACCTTCTGAATGAGAGTTTATAAATACCATATTTCCTATGCTAGGGTATAGAGGTACAGAATGGCTCGAGAAGAACCTGGATTGTTTATATTATATCAAGAGGCATGGCAAACACACATATCTGATGGCAGAGATGTTGATAGAATATAGCAGTCATTACTGCATATATTATATATATATGTGTGTGTATATATATATATATATATATATATATATATTTATCAATTAATTCAGATGCAGGCGCATCTGAAGCTAGATTCAAAATCAAATTCCAGCTCCACTGCTGGCTAGGAGTGTAACCTTACTTAGTTAATCTCTTAGTGCTTCGACAGGAGTGGGAATAGTATCTAGCAGAAAGGAGACTCATGAAGAAAGACTACACATATTAAAATTTTATATGTGAAGTGTTTTAACAGTGACTGTAGAACGTAAGTGGATGTAACTGTTATTTTAATTGCTGATAGTTCTAGAATATAACTCTCCAACAATTTGAGATCTGTGTTACTCTCTGATAGCGTTTCATAGGAAGAAGTTCTACAGTTCTAGACAGAACGTCAGGGAAGAGGTTCTGACCTCATTGCAAGGGTGACAAAACCAATCCCAGAGCCAGAGAGGGCTTTTTGCAGACTTTGTCATGGCAGAGCCAGGACCAGAATCCAGTCGACTGTGACTTTTACAAGCAGTGTAATTAAAGAAAAGGATTAAAGCTTGGCCTATATGTAAAATGGATGTCATAACTGAGACAATTACGGGCTTCAGTTAAAGTCTATGATACTGGGTGTTTATAAACTCTGGTTTAGCAACAGGTACTTAACAGCAATCCGGTGTGAAATGTTGTGAAATTGTGTGTTATGGGCATTAATTGTAATAGCGCTGAAACAGTTTTTCTAGCTATATAACTTGCATGAAACTGATCAAAATATCTATACTAATATCAAAGTATAAGCAAGAGCTGGAGAGATAGCTCAGTGGTTAAGAGCACTTGCTGCTCTTGCAGAGAGTCCAGGTTCAGTTCCCAGCACCCACATGGTGGCTCACAACCATCTGTAATTCCAATTCTAGATGATCTGATGCCCTCTTCTGACCTTCACAGGCACAACGTATGCACATGGTACAAATACATACATGTAGGTAAAGTACCCATACACATAAAATAAAAATAAAATTTAAAAAAGTATTCACTAAGATAGTCAGGTGCTTTGCTTGTAGACATTTTACTAAATGGCGAGAGTTATAGCTTAATTCTTTTCTACAACTATAAGGGGACCTTAAATCATGCAATTTTTTTTGAGTATGGTTCAGATTAACGATCTTTAGAGCACAGCCGATATTATGGTGACCCAGTAGCACCCTTCATTTACACCAGCCTTCAGAGGTCCTGTTTGTCTGTGGCCTGCTCCTCTGCAATGACCACATCCTGGGGAAAGGAAGTACCATCGCTGTCTAAGTTGCTACGCAGCTTTAAATAGCGCAGTTATCCTTAATTCTTTTTCTTTGTTTTCATAGAAAGTGCAGAGAAATCATAAACATGTGTATTCAAGTAGTTTCCTTAGGAAAGAACTTCAGCAAATACACTCTTCAGTTTAGAAGTGGACCATAATCACCAAAGATTAGGTGAAACCTCAGCCATGCTAAAGAAAACCGTATAATTAGGCATCTTGAATCAACATAAAACAATTATGATCTCTTTGTGGTTTTAAAGTTTTTAAATAAAGACAGTCCCTGCACAGTTCAATTGTAAATCCTAATAGCTTCTTTACCAAGGGACGAGACTCAAAGGAAGGAAGGTTTCTCAGCAAATCTTCCAATTACAACAAAAAAGAAATCTTTGTGCTGGAACTTTTAGAAATAGGATTTTGAGAAAAATGTATTCCAGGAGAGGATTATATTAGACCTGAACCAAACCAAACTGTTACAAAATTCTCTACAAAGAGGCAGAAACCTTACTTCATCTCAGACATGTTAGTGATCTGAGAAAGACTGTAGGGTAAATTACCAACCCCAACTCAAGTGACCAGTTTGCAATCAGCATTTGCTTCCAGGAAGAGCTAAGCCTCTGCCTCACCATCAATAGCCCAGAGAGGACAAAGACAGCATTACAGAGTACAGGCACAGAGCTAAGTACAGAAGGCAGGAGGAAGCCTCTATTGATACAAGTCATGGCTATCCTTAGGAGTATCTTAAAAAATCAGCTCTTTTATATTTATACTTATATTTGAAACCTCCTCAGATACTGACAAGGAATATGGCTGAAAAAAAGGGAAAAGAAATCTTTCAGCTGAATATTAGACTCTCCTCCCATTATTCTACCCTCACGAGCAGCACCGTCCCATGGTGGATCACATGATATTTTCTAAGGACAAACAGAAAAATAATGGAACTGAGCTCGGCTCCATCTCCACCTCCCTATTTTAACTTGTGCCTTAACCCAACATTAGGGACTCATCTGTTTACCCTGTTTTCTTGAATGCTCTCTCAAACTACAGATGCTATTATATCCTAATGTGTTTATAAAAACATAGGTATTAAATGAGTTTCAAGCCTAAACTGTGCTCATATATTGGAAAAACTGAAGTGATTGGACTAAGCTTCTGAGAAGGCACTTTGATTTTCCTCTGTTCCCTCCCCCAAAGGGGCTATATTAAATGGAAAAAAATATATCTGTTTTCTTTTAATTGAATGCTTCTTTATTCGATAGGTTAATTATTTACTTCAAGTTATACTTAATGTGTCTATCATCTTTAAAATGTTATTAAACTACATCAAATATGAAGCTTGGTTAAACATTGTGACTGCATGGTAAGCTGGTGGTTAGAGTTTAAATGTTCAATTTACTTTAATGTTATTTCCAAAATTCAGAACAGCCGAAAGACATGCAGTTGATTAACCATGCGACTTCTGCATAATGAATTTGTTAGTATACACCTTAACAAACTCAGAGAGTCACCTCCTTAATTCCTTAATCTAAAGTAAGTGAAACTTCAAAATGATCTTTAGATGATGAAATACTTTACTGGTGAATGTATCTTAGTTTAACACGATTAGGCATTCATTCAGAGCAGAGAGTCTTAATGGGATGAAAACCAAGTTACCTCTTATTGAAAGCTCCGCTAAGAGAACTGTCAATACAAAGTATAAATAAGCAGATCCACTTACCTGAAGTTAAAGTTCAGAGAGTTTGGAAATGCAGGGGAAAGTTTCAATCGACAGACAAAAAAATCCAAAGAGAAGGGTGTGCAACCTTCGGCTGGGCTTTCTGCCTTTGCAAGTGGCAGTAAGGCCAGTCTGGCCAGTCCCCTCATGTTATGTAACATCTTATTAATATTAGCCATCAGACTGCTACCAAGCTGGTGAGGCACTAGAGGGCAAGAGTGACACATGCAAGACCCATCTCCAAGGGACCAGCGCTGGGACCACTTCAGGGAAGACAGATGCTAACTAAGCTGATAAATACCAGATGTCTGAAAGCAGCAGCGAAACTTGCCCTTGTCCCTCAAAGACTATTTTAAATGCCAATTTCTGACTAGCTCCTGTTAACAGGTTAAAAAATACGCGAAAGCAAAGAACCACGCCATGCACAAACTTTCAGGATTAAATTTACAGCCCACAGTGACTCAGGGGGTTTGTCTTTGCATTGTTTAAATCAACGTATTTTAAACAGGAAAGGGGGGTGCGGAATATAAATTCAATGAGTGTAGATTTCGAGACCCTTCGTTTCCAGTCGCTAGAAACTTGCGATGGTCTCGCTGCCATTTCTAGAGTTCGCATTTCAAGTGGCCAGGGTTGGGTTCCTAGGTGAGGACCTGCCCGCCATCCTAGAGATTACCTCGGGCTGCTGAGCGTCGGCATCCTGCCTCCCGGTCCTCCTCGTCGCCGCGCTACCGCTGAGCGGCCACCGCTGCGGCGGCCTCCCTCAGCACCCGTTTGCCCGCTGAGTGGGATGGGCGCGTGGGGCGGGCGGGGCTTGTAGGGCGAGTGGTCCAGGAGCTCAGGGCTGGGCGGGGCTGGGCGGGCGGGGCGGGGCTTGTAGGGCGAGAGGTCCACGCACTCAGGGAGGGGTCGGGCGGGGCTGGGCGGGGCTGGGCGGGGCTGGGCGGGGCTGGGCGGGGCTTGTAGGGCGAGTGGTCCAGGCGCTCAGGGCGGTGAGGGGTAGCATGGCCCAGGCAGGCAAGCGCTTTGGGACCTGTCCTCACCCCACGACGCAGTGGAGTTTCCGGGGTTCTTGCAGCTTGAGCACGCCCGCCAGAGCGGGAGGGGGTAAGAGCCGGGACCCAGTCAGGGAGGGACTCAGGAAGGGGCAGAGCTGCACCACAGGTGCCGTTGCCCGCAAGGGATAGCACATCCTGCAGGCTTTCCTCCTGCTAAGGAAAGGGTCCCTAAGGCCGGGTCCCCCACCCCGGAAGACCGGTGCAAAGCCAAAGACAGATTAAAGACATTTTAAATTCAAGGGTGAGGGTGGGAGAAAGTCGGAAAGCAAGGTGTCTCCAAATACACTATGGGTCACGCCAAGACAGTTTGAGCCAGGGGTAATCCATCAATGGTAACTTGTAAAGGACATTTCTGTGGACATAATAAATACTTAGAGGATCAGTCACCACCTCACAGGGTGCCATGTCCGACTTTCTTAGAAAAGTGACACAGGTCAATCCTCAGACTTGTTGGGGCTATTGAACCCCTACTCAGGTCTGGCCAAAGGTAGCACCATGTTTTCTTGAGAGTTAGAACTTAGTCATTCAGAGACAGAAGATTCCATTTGTAGATGGATTAGGGCCCTGCGCATGCAAGTATTGTATTGTGTTCTGATGAGTAAAGGGCTGTTGAAGCTTCTCTGCCCTCTAGAGACTGAAGACAGCGCTACTGCTTCAGTAGGGATGCAATCAGAGGTGTTGGGGACCAGTTAAACCAACACACAGGCTGGTGCCCTCTGAACCCCAGTAAAACTGAGACACATCCCGCCTTCAGGTGTCGTCATACATGAATTCATACATTGACTTTTGGCTTAAGACAGCCCCGGTTAGATTATATTTTCTGACAAGTAGAAGTGCAAGGGACCCAAATGATAGAGAAATCAAATGTTTTGTATTGTTAAGTGATTTCAGGAAGACATTTGGATGCCTACAGCAATGCCTTCAGCAGATCACCATGCCTTGAGTTAGTTGTTTTTTTTTTTTTTTGTATTCTTATTAAGTGCTGCGGATCAAACCCAAACTCTCTGAGATACTAAGGAAGCACTATGTCATCGAGCCACATGCCCAGTCTGGTTTTCTTTCTTCTTTTTAAGTCAGAAAAAAAAATGCATCTCTTTCGTGCTAGGTGCGTAGAAGAACATAGAGAAGTGAGGGAAACAATCTCTCTGCTAGAGCTACAGAAGGATTAGGCGAGTAAAATTCTTTGGCTAGACGACACAGAATGACTATGCTAATTTTATTTTACTTTTTTGTTGTTGTTGGAGTCTCTCTTGAGAGTCTTGTGTCCTCCAAGAATGGTAAGAAACCTTGCCTTCATTTTTATATGCTCCTGAGAGCCTGCCCTTCCTCCACAGCATCTACGCAGCCATCCAAAACTTCCCATTGGGAGAGGGCTCAAAAATATAGAGGTTTGTCACCAAGTCAGAGAACCTGGGTTCAGTCTGAGCAGTCTCACATGGTGGGTGGAGAGAACCAACTTCTACAAGTTGTCCTCTGACCTTCACACCCGGGCACACAACTCCCTTCCTTTATTGATGAGTCAGAGGAGATGGAGAATGCCAAGTTCTGTCTAGACACAACAGGGATGGCACACATAGGAGCTCATAGAGACCGAGGCAGCATGCCCAGATGTTCACCAGATGGGGTCCTAGAGCTGATAGAGACGTGGACACAAGTCCCCATCCCTCACCCAGAAGCCATCTCCAATTGCTAACCACTTGCAAATAAAAACTTGGTTTTCTTCAAGGGAATTTCATTGGGGAAACAAATTATTCTTATGAATAGCCCCATGTTCAGTAGTAGATGGCCAAACAGAAAAACAGCTCAATGGCACCTCTGTCTCTTGATATTAGTATTTTTTTCTTACAGTTCCTTTGCATATAAATTATAGCTTCTGGTTTTCTGTCTTTATAATGTCTGTGTGTGGTCTCTGCGTCTATGTGTGTTTCTTGTACATTTTCTTGTTTGGTTGTTTGTCCTGTTCTGATTTTCTTTCTTCTGTTTTATCTTATCATTTCTTAGATGCCCATTGGTTTTCTAAAGAGTGACAGAAAGGATGGGGATCCATATGGGAGGAGAGGTGGGGAGGAACTGCGAGGAGTAGGCGGGGGACCAGTATCAGAATATAGTGTATGAAAAGAAAATCTATTTTCAATTAAAAAATAAATAAATAAATGTAGACAAGTATTGAACACCAACTGAGTGGCTCTGGGAATACAGTGATACTGAAAGGGGAGAATGGTAGATACATTTTTCTGCCTTTCTGTTGATTGTAATTTATTGTTATGGGGTAGGCAGTTTAAGAGTTCAGTAAATGGACAAGACTCCAAAATCCACACACTTTTGAATGTTTCTCCATGTGTGGTAATGTTTGGAAAAGGTGTTCACTTTTTAAAAAATATTTATTTATTTATTTATTTATTTATTTATTTATTATGTATACAACATTCTGTGTGTATGCCTGCAGGCCAGAAGAAGGCACCAGACCCCATTACAGATGGTTGTGAGCCATCATGTGGTTGCTGGGAATTGAACTCAGGACCTTTGGAAGAACAGGCAATGCTCTTAACCTCTGAGCCATCTCTCCAGCCCAAGGTGTTAACTTTTCATCTTTTTCTTTCTTCTCTGCACCAAGGGTACAAAACCATAGAAAAGAGAACCTCTTTTCTATGTAAGATTGTCTTTTTTTTTTTTAAATTTCTTGGGGTAGGTGGAACAGAATCATGTTAAACTTAGTGGTTGCTTTGGGGCATCTGGCTGCTTTTACCCAGTGCTGCTGCTCCGGCCATCCAGTCATAAAGGCAGGTGGCTGACAGATATGCTGTCTTCTCCCAAGCTACGCCCAAATCTCATAGCCCTATTACAGAAGGGCTTGATGGGAGCTTGATTCATTACCTGTGCTTCTTTCCATCCCTGAGCATTGCCTGGGAGAGGGATAAAGAGGGAGCATACAGAACTGACAACCTTGCTCACTTTAACGTTCCTTTTCTGTTTTCTTTACCTTATGTAGGGCCAATAGGCTAGGGAATGATTTCTCTCTAGCAGATGGATTCTCCAGTGTTGTATGCTGTTCACTAGAGGCAACAAAGAGCCTGGGTCCACCTGAATTGGGGCTGCACACTGGGGAAGCACCTCAAATTTACTCATCTCCAAATTAGCTTCTTCAGTATATTGAATGTGATAAATGAGTTACATTAGCATTGACCTCTGGGGTACAGCACAGTTTTCAAAACCACCTTTGTTCTTACCTATTTTTACCATTTATGTAAATATTGAGGACTTCAAAAGTAGAAGAGGCTTAGACTTCTGTCAAGAACTCCAAGAAGTCCTAGTTTGGATTCTATGAACCCTTTTGTTTATGAGAGACCCTTCTTACTACATCAACAACAACAAAAATAAAACAAAAAACAAAATGATAATCTGCCTATAAGTGAAAAACCTACAGAAGTGATTAAAAATAGAACAAAAAAAGAACAAAAGAATGCACTTTGTATATTGAAAAAATTAATCCTGTACTTAGCCACTCTGACAGACAGCATCTGATAGTAATTCATGGTGATATAGAGATTTAATAACATGCCTTATATAAATTAAATTAAAATTATAACCTTTGATTTTGCTCCTCATCTAAATGTTTCTAGGTGGAGAGTACTGAAAAAATTTTGAGAAACTTCTTTCAACTTGCAGAGTTCTCTTTCATTTTTCAGTGTCTAAATTAAATCCACATATATTTTAACCTTATGACATGGTTAAAAGATGATACATCATAGAGGACATATTATTTTATCTGAAGCAGCTAATAAATGTGTGTATTACAGTTTCTTTTAAATTCTTCATCTAAGACTTGTAGAAGTAACTCTGCTGATCTGCTTAAGACAATGGAATGGGGACTTAAGAGAATGCGTTCTGTCTAGAAACTTTCAACTCAGCCCAAGGAAGGGGAGCCCTGCCTTTCTTACTTTTTCAAAGGATGTTCATTTTAAAATGGACCAAACCAAATATTCCAGCAAAATAATAGATGAGGAGGGGTATGAGTGATGTCAAGGAGATACAAAGCTACAGGCAGATAAGCTGCCTCCGCCTTTCAGCTCCTTATGGAGAGCACCCTTGATAGATGAACAAGGTGGAGTAGATGGCCCAAAGGCCTTTTTAAAAATATAAATTTTAATTAAGATATAATTACATCACTTGTCCCTTTTCCTCTTCCTAACTCCTCCCATATACTCTCCGCTCCTGAAATTGATGGTCTTGTTGTTTTCTTTGATTACTGTTATTGCATAGATCTATTTGCACCAATCTGCTAAGTCCATTTATGTTGTTTATGTATATATGACTTCAGAGCTGATGACTTTGTATTGGGTAACCAATTAGGGGACTCATCCCTGTGTGACGCTAATTCTCCCTCTCTCAGCCTCAGCAACACCTGAAAAGCGCTGACAGTGTCGGTAGACGTGCCAGTGTGTGAGTGGGGACTCCTAAAGGGTACGACCCCAGACAGAGCTGCATGTAACCATAGGTCTTGCTTTAAGAAACAAGTTTGTGGCTCAATGGGAGGTTTGGGGGTGTGGCTTCAGCCCTGGTGGGCATCATTGTTGGCTGGGGATTTGCCACTCCCTGTGCTCTACTCCTACTGCTGTATGTTCAGATCAGGGAGGGGCCCCAGGATCCGTATTTCAACAAGTGCTCAACGACAGCTGTCCAGAATTCAAGAAAAGCTGGCTTAA